TGCCTTAACCTCTTTCTTTCTTTTTTTTTTTTTTTTCGGTACGCGGGCCTCTCACTGCTGTGGCCACTCCCGTTGCGGAGCACAGGCTCCGGACGCGCAGGCCCAGCGGCCATGGCCCACGGGCCCAGCCTCTCTGCGGCATGCGGGATCCTCCCGGACCGGGGCACGAACCTGCGTCCCCTGCATCGGCAGGCGGACTCCCAACCACTGCGCCACCAGGGAAGCCCTCTTTCTTTCTTTAAAAAAAAATTTTTTTTTCTATTTTTTATTGTATTTATTTATATTTGGCTGTGTTGGGTCTTTGTTGCTGCACGTGGGCTTTTTCTAGTTGCAGCGAGCGGGGGTTACTCTTTGTAAAACGGGCTTCTCGTTGCAGTGGCTTCTCGTGTTGCGGAGCACCAGATCTAGGTGCACAGGTTTCAGTAGTTGTGGTGCATGGGCTCAGTAGTTGTGACTCGTGGGCTCTAGAGCACAGGCTCAGTAGTTGTGGCGCACAGGCTTAGTTGTTCCGTGGCATGTGGGATCTTCCCGGACCAGGGCTCGAGCCTGTGTCCCCTGCACTGGCAGGTGGATTCTTAACCACTGTGCCACCAGGGAAGCCCAACCTCTTCTTTCAAGGGCTTGAATAAGGCGGAATATATCTTAAGGAGTCAAACACTTCTTAAGTGTTATGTGCTCACTCTGTTTTACAGAGCATCTTTTCCAGGAGTCTAATTTGGGAATTGTTTGTGCTCTGAAGGATACGGGAGGAGGCTCTTACTGTCACGAGGGCCAGAAACAGGGCTGGCTCCTCACAGACAGGGCCTCACAGGGCCATTCCGAGTGCCTCCTCATTAAGCCCTCCGGTATTCTAGTTCCCTGCTCACAGGAGTGATTCTTCACTTTACACAGTTGACCTGTTGTACTATATTCTTCCGTCCTCTCTTCTGTGATCCAGAGGGGTCACTGAGTTTTCAATCCATTAACCCACCCCTCCTACCTAGTTTCTTCTCAGACCTGTACTTAATTTCTTCCTGTTTACTCATTAATTAAACGCGAAGACTGTACCAAGTTAAAGTTCAGCATCTTCAGAACGCCTGATGACACGGTCCCTGAGGCTGCCCTTGAATAACTGATGCAGTATTCTTTAAGCAGTGACCTGTTAGAGTGCCCATCTGGATCGGATGAAAAGCCTTCTGACTTATTAATTTTTGTTTCCAGGTTGATAAAGGACATTGTATAATTTATTTTTACCAAAGCTAGATTAGTCTTTACTGTTTGTTTTTGAATTTGTTTTTCCTTAGCCCCAGCACCTGTGGAGATAGTACCGATATGTCTATAGATGTCAGGAATATCCACTTTATGTTTCAAACCACACACCCCACAGTTTTCTGATCTAATATTTAGGTACGTCATAAGGCCCTCATATATTTTCAAAACTAATTGCTAGTGACCCTAATGAAACTAGGCCAGGTATTCCTAGGTTTAAGGCAGTCCGGTTTGCAATGTGCAGCCCTCCTAATTTAATGGGGGAATCTTTAACTAGATGCTCCCCTTCGGGGTGTCTTCTTGCCCTTCCACCCTGGGGCTACACACACTGATGATAAGATCCCAGTGGACTTATCTTTTTTTAAAATTTTTTTAATTTTGCGGTACACGGGCCTCCCACCACCGTGGCCCCTCCCGCTGCGGAGCACAGGCTCCGGACGCGCAGGCCCAGCAGCCAAGGCTCACGGGCCCAGCCGCTCCGCGGCACGTGGGATCCTCCCGGACCGGGGCACGAACCCGCGTCCCCTGCATCGGCAGGCGGACTCTCAACCACTGCGCCACCAGGGAAGCCCCAGTGGACTTCTCTTTAACAGTCAGTGATAAAAATAAGTGGTGTTAAAAACATCCATCTTTCAGTATCACTTATTTAGAGCTTCCTCTCCTTTTCTAATGAAAGACTACTGTTTTCCTTTTGCTATTTTGTTCCTTAATGCTTTTCAGCAGTGTTCTCATGTTGCACCCTTGATGCCATGAGCCTGAGCTCTGGAGGCTGGATGACCGGCGTTCAGCTCTCTGCCCAGCCTCCATCTGTGAAATAAGATGAATAATAATATTGACCTCACAGAGCTGAAGTGAGCATTAAGTTCTCTAATTTGTAAAATTGCTTTGTTATAAACTTTAAACACATAGATAAATAGATTCAAATGGCAAGTACTGATTGTTGATATTTGTGCTCAGAATTGCTAAATGCCATGTCTTAATGATGTTAGCCAGAATGCCCAGTAAGACTGTAAAATTAATAGGTTATTAAATGAACACCTCCCACTCTCTAAATGTTTTCTATTTCTACTTTTCTCATTCTCTGTTTGTGTCTCCATTTCTTTTAATGCCCACCATTCTCTTTCCCAACTTTGGTAGCTTTCTATAACTGGATATAGTAGAGAAGCATGTTTTAATTTTTGTATTACCTATGGTAGCTATATAATCTTAAGTAAAACTAAAGGTATAGAATGTTTATTTTTATCTCTGTAAAGAACTCACATAGTTTCTTTTTTTCACTTGTCAATTCATTCTATAATCTTTTGTCCCCAGTTGATCAGCTGTTTTCAGTAGAAAATCTTTTTTCCTCTATTGCTTTATGCTTTTGTTGCTGGGGAGTTAGCAGGGCTACCAAAGCGCTTCAAATTCAGGCAAGTCTTTTCCTCTTTCTTTTAGAAATGGATTTTGTTGCATTCTCTGTTCAGTTTGTCCCCAGAAACTTACTGAAAAGTATATGGTACAGATATGAATGTTCATAAATACAGAATAACAAAGTGAATACTCTATTTTGGTGACTTTTTAAAAATAATGGAAAATGTGGGATCATTCATAGCATGAGGAGGGGAATTTTGAGAATTTTAGGCACCTCAGAATCAGACTGTCAATTACAAGCTTTAGGTTTGTTTTTTTAATGGCCAAGCATAACCACCTCAGCTCAACTGTACCTCCTTTTGCCTCACAGCCCTAGGCTGACTGCTTCTTCTGTGCTTTTCGCTACCTCCCTGAAAGAGTCCACTTAGTCAAGCTGTGACTACTGACTGAGCACTTTGTGTTAGTCCAGATTCGTGATTGCACATGACAGACCATGAGTCATGGCAAACCAATCCATTTAAAGTGGGTGTTGAGGGGGGAGAAGGTTTACTGAGAGCATGCCCAGTAACCAGGAAGGATGGAGTTAGTGCATCCTTCCACATTTGTGACTTTGCGAAGGGTTCACAGCCCAAGCTCCTTCCCTCTTCAACCCGTGCAACCAGCTGGAAAGGCTGCGTGCTGTTTCCTCGGAGTCTCAAAGTAGGCCCCGTCCTTCGCTCACATTGCTCTCCTTTCCTCCTCCTGCCCACTTTGGTCTGGTTAACTCCTGCTTACTCTCCCAGACATCTTCCTGACACCCAGCCTGAGATGCATACCTTTTATGTGTTTTCTTAAAATTCTGTGCACAGGACCCTTCTATGCACTTATCAAAACTGTCTGGTGATTGCTTGTTTACTTGTCTGTTTCCCAGCTAGACTTTGGCCTTCTAGCGGGTGGGAGCTGTGTCTGAATCATGCTTCCATTCTTTGTCCACAGTCTCATTCATAAACAGAGAGAAGCATTTGTTGAATGAGTGAGCATAGGATCTTTGTTCATGTTGGTGACTTTGCTTTCTGGGCTGATCTCTGTTCATGCTGGTGACTTTGCTTTGACAAATACAAAAGCCTTTTGCCTTAATGACATAAAAGTCCTACTTCTTTTTTTTTTTTTTTTTGCGGTACGCGGGCCTCTCACTGTTGTGGCCTCTCCCGTTGTGGAGCACAGGCTCCGGACGCGCAGGCTCAGCGGCCATGGCTCACGGGCTCAGCCACTCCGCGGCACGTGGGATCTTCCTGGACCGGGGCACGAACCCGTGTCCCCTGCATCGGCAGGCAGACTCTCAACCACTGCGCTGCCAGGGAAACCCAAAAGTCCTACTTCTAATGTTCTTCATTTTAAAACAGGACTGGATATGATCCCATTCCACAAACATATTCAGTAAAGAAATGTGAATACGCATGCAAAAAACCCTTTAGGTCAGTTGTTGTTTTGGTATTAGTCAAAGTTTTGTGCAATTTCTAGATATAAATAATGACTTAAAATATACTTATAAAATGTATAAGTGACCTTACTTAATGGGCAACCAGATCAACTGTGTAGTTGATATGCACAGTGTCAGGAGCAGGTCAGGAAGGTGTCTGACAATACACATTCATTTTTAGTGGCTTATCTTTCATCTTTTCTGCATTGAATACAATTATTTTGATGAGCAGTCTGACAACCTTGTAAGTTAGCTGAAAAGATTTTACTGATATATGCTAACTTACATGCTAACTCATCCTTTTTTTTTTTTTTTTTTTTTGCGGTACGCAGGCCTCTCACTGTTGTGGCCTCTCCCGTTGCGGAGCACAGGCTCCGGACGCGCAGGCTCAGTGGCCATGGCTTACGGGCCCAGCCGCTCCGCGGCATGTGGGATCTTCCCGGACCGGGGCACGAACCCGCGTCCCCTGCATCGGCAGGTGGACTCTCAACCACTGCGCCACCAGGGAAGCCCTCGTCCCTTCTTTTTCAGGGGGTAAACATAGTGTTAGAATCTTTAATAACTGTCTAATATAGTTATTTTTCATTTGTTCTAAGGTTGAAATATGCTTGTTGGCTCACCAAAGACTCTGATGTGAGGGTCCCACAAAACATATTAGGGTACCTTCCGTTCCTCTCTAACAGTTTAATAACCAGCTTTGATTTGACTCCTCAGTGGCTGTAAATCCATGAAAATCATTCACAACAATAGTTTGGGGAGGCAGAAACATAAAGCTGCTCTTTCTTCTTGTATGTGCTGAACCCTTTTAGCGGCCCTTGGCTATGATTCTAGTAATTCTTGTCATCAGAAACAAATGATTTCACTGGAAAGGAAAATGAGAGCTGCTTTTACTGATGACATACTCACGCGTTCTCTGTTCTTCTCCCTCTCTCTTATTTTTCAGTGAGCATGTTTTTGAACACATTAACACCGAAGTTCTACGTGGCCCTGACAGGCACTTCCTCACTCATATCAGGGCTTATTTTGGTAAGTGGTGGAATCCCTGCTATTTAAAAACATGCTGATTACTAATATATACATTATATATGTACAGGAAAAAATTCTGGAAGCGTATACACCAGTACCGTACAGTGACTGCGTGTGTGTTTATGTTGGATAGGGGACTGGTAGAGGCCTTTCACTATCCAGGTTATATGTTTTTAAAATATTGGAAAAAAGTGTTTTTTTTGAACAATTATATACTGATTTTGTTGAAGGAAAAAACAAAATGGAAAATAAAGGAAGACATAATTCTGTGTCAAATTCTAATGTCTAAGATACTATAAAGTAAGTGTGACTCAGTTAAACTAAAATGTTTTTCATTACCCTTTTCAAAATGGATTATTGGACATAATCAAGATCAGTAGAAATATAGCTCAGTTTCTTTAAATATACTGACACGGATGTGGCAGTTCTAAGCTTTTTCCCCCTTCATCTCCTTTTCTTTTAAAATTTACATATATTTCCCTATTGCTTCCTTGAAAAAAAATCCCCAGTAGTCAAAAAGCAATGTGATAATCACCCCTAAGGCTCCATTGCCTTATGTGCTAAAATAGTTATAGGTGTAATAAGTTACAACACCTGCAGTAGTTTTCTTTAATTTAAGTGACCTTAGAGGGGGCCATCTAAACTAGTGGAATCACTCTAATATAATTAAATTTATATTAAGGAGCTTTAAGGAGAAAGAGGTTTTAGAAAGCTTTTTTTCCATCTATACATAATGCTGTGATTACTAATTATTATAGAGACGTGGACAAGAAACAGTACAATGAGGTAACTGCTAGTGCTGTTTCCATTTTACTAATACATAAGCTGGATAGGAAGTAACCTATCTTAGGTCACATAGATGGCAAGTGGCAGAGCAGGATTTCAACCCAGGCTGGCTTGCACCAGAGCCTGTGCTTTTATCACTCACTTCACTGCCTCTCTGGTTAAGTTCTCAGCTGTTTTTCCAGCTTGCTGAACAAATGGAAAGTCTGGATGTTATTCTAGTAGTATCTTGGTGTGGGTTCACTAGGATATAAATGAATTACCAGAATGCAGGGTGAGCTAAGCCTAGCAGTCATTCTCCCTTCTCACTGAGAGATGGTGATGTCCCATCTCCTTGCTTCTCTTCTCCTCCAAATAAAGGGGTTTCCTTAGACCATGACCAACTTTGCAGATCCGGGCTTGTGAGGCTTTCTCCCTGGGTGTGAAGTGCAGCTGCTGAAGCCTGATGGTCACTGCCGTGTTGTTTTATGATACATTTGCTTTGCTGCATTCCTAGGAAGCAGAGGATACTCCTGACTAATGTAAAACTTTGAGCAAAGGAAAACCTCTGGTGTGTGAAGATTTTGAAAGCCCTTCTCACAAATGCTTGGTCTGTCATATATACACTACCAAATATAAAATGGATGGCTAGTGGGAAGCTGCTGCGTAGTACAGGGAGATAAGATCGATGCTTTGTGACGACCTAGAGGGGTGGGAGGGAGGCTCAAGAGGGAGGGAATATGGGGCTATACGTATACATATACCTGATTCACTTTGTTGTACAGCAGAAACTAATATAACATTGTAAAGCAGTTATACTCCAATAAAGATGTAAAAAGAGAGGCATGGACATATATACACTACCAAATGTAAGGTAGATGGCTAGTGGGAAGCAGCCGCATAGCACAGGGAGATCAGCTTGGTGCTTTGTGACCGCCTGGAGGGGTGGGATAGGGAGGGTGGGAGGGAGGGAGACACAAGAGGGAAGAGATATGGGAACATATGTATATGTATAACTGATTCACTTTGTTATAAAGCAGAAACTAATACACCATTGTAAAGCAATTATACTCTAATAAAGATGTAAGAAAATAAAAATATAGTGTAAAGAACACTAATTCACCTCTAAAAAAGTTAATAAATAGAAAAATAAAAATAAAAAAGTGGATATATATATATATGTATAACTGATTCACTTTGCTGTACAGCAGAAACTAACACTTTATTTTATTTCATTTAAAAAAATTTATTATTATTATTCTTTTAACATCTTTATTGGATGTTTATTGGGCAATGTTTATTTCTGTGGAAAAAATTTCTGAGTTTTGTTTTTGCTCTTGAGAATGGTAAGGTGGATATGTGGAGAAAATGCTCCCCTTAATTTTCTCAAAATGTTGGTAGAGTGGAGAAAATGCTGCTGTATTGACATTTATACTTAGATCCCTGTGTCCCCATTAACATGTGTATAGACATGCTCCTACACCTACGTGTTACACATGCATATTAAATACAGAGATATGGGAAAAGGCAGCCAAAGCAATATTTTTAAAAATGAGAGTCAAGAATAAAAATAGAAAATTAGGGCTTCCCTGGTGGCGCAGTGGTTAAGAATCCGCCTGCCAATGCAGGGAACACGGGTTCAAGCCCTGGTCCAGGAAGATCCCACATGCCATGGAGCAACTAAGCCCATACACCACAACTACTGAGCCTGCACTCTAGAAGCCGCGAGCCACAACTACTGAAGCCCGTGCGCCTAGAGCCCGTGCTCCACAGCAAGAGGAGCCACCACAATGAGAAGCCTGCACACCACAAGGAAGAGTAGCCCCCGCTCGCCGCAACTAGAGGAAGCCCGAACGCAGCAACAAAGACCCAATGCAGCCAAAAACAAAATAAATAAATTTAAAAAAAAAAGAAAATTTAAATAGTAAATAAAAGAATTAATTCAGGGCTTAGGCGTAAAAGAATTGTTTTCAGAAAAGCAGTAGAAGAGATGACAATTAGATAGGAATCAGTTGTAATGAAAGGCCCTTTTATTGTGTTTCCACTCTATGTCAGGTACTGTTTTGAGCACTTTGAATGTATTATTTCATTTAATTCTAAGTGAATTCTAATTCTGATTTCATTGAAATTCTAAGTGGTTGATATAACCAATGCCTTTATGCTTTGAGTATAAACAGACATAACATTTAAATAAATTGCCCAAGGATATATAGCAGACAGATGGTGAGATTTGAATTTGGGTCTGTCTGACCATGCCCTCTATCCCCTCCTGTTTAAAAGTAAGGGAGTGGGACTAGAAGATTGTTATGGCTCCTTTCAACTCTTTTTCATTCATCGAAAGAACTTGACCTCCACTTGACCTGAAAATCATGCAGTTGCAGGGCTGGAGGAAGGAACCCTCAGAAGCCATCCAGTTTAAGCCAGCAAAGACCTAAGGAACAGGCACCCAGAAAGCTTATGACTTGCCTAGGTCACCTTGCTAGGTAAGGTATAGGGAAGGCTCGAATTTAAATTTCCACTGCTTTGTCCCAGCATCATTCTACCTCTCATAAACATGTTAACTAGGAAGATGGGTAGCAGCATTGTCTAGTGGTTGATGTATTCCTTTGAAGAGACTCATAGAAATGGGTCAGGGAGATAAGAATGCAGAGAGGAGAGAAGGAAAAGAAAAAGAAAAAAAGAGAAAGGAAAGGGGGAGGGAAGGAGACTACCAATGTCTCTGGAGGGAACATTTTTTCTTTTTCCAATCAGCCATGGATTAGGTCAGATTTGGTCAGTCTAGAACATGGACCATCACTTAACACAATTTATAATTTCATTTGTGACATTTATGGTCTTATCCTCTCTGTGATGGAAGCTTCACAAAGGCTGGGAACATATCTGTGTTTTTGTGTTCAACTGTATAATGTTTGGGTAGACTCTTAAGAAATATTTGTTGAATGCACACAGATCCAGCGAGTGAATGAATTAACTGACTGTATTAGAATTATCTGGGGAGCTTGTTTAAAGTGATGGATTCTGAGTACCACCCCAGACCAACTGAATCAGAATCTCTAGGGCAAGGGCCTAGAGGAAAGCTGCTACCCAGGAGGTGCTCACAGAGCTTGGGGCGCCATGGCACAGGCTGGCACTTCCCACTTGTCAGTGGTCCCCATGACTTCACCCCAGGAGAGTGATCCTCCCGTCCAGGCCATAGTCATTAATGCTACAGTGGAAAATCTCATCCTGTGAACACGCAGACACTGAGGTGGGCATGGATCACGGACCTTGAAGAGAGCCTCACTTCTCTATCCCCTCTCTTTTCTTAAAGCCTTGGCAATAGGTGGCCAGGAAAGGGGGTGGAAGGACATGAAGAGCAGTTCTTTACACAGCCCCTCTGAACTGGTTAGGGGAATAGGTGACTGAGGGGTGATTGGCTAGGCCCAAGGTGGCAGGAGGCCAAGACCCTTCTGTATTCCTAAACAAAACAGGCAGGAGCCAGGAGGAAAGAAAGGGGTGGGAGGGGGAGAGAGAGAGGGGTGGGGGAGAGAAAGAAAGAAAGAAAGGAAAAGAAAGGAAAGAAGGAAGGAAGGAAGGAAGGAAAGAAAGAAAGGAAGGAAGGAAAGGAAGGAAGGAAGGAAGGAAGGAAAGAAAGAAAGAAAGAAAAAAGAAAGAAAGAAGGAGAGAGAAAAAAAGGGAAGGGAGGAAGGGGGAGGGAGGGAGGGAGGGAGGGAGGAAGTTCTGTCAGGCGGAATTGCCAGGGACTTTGAAAGGGTCAGTGGTATGGAGGAAAGGATACACTTGCAAATTCTAACAGGAAGCTAAAAATGTTAGATGGATATTACTATAACCCATGCCATTTGCCTTGGTTTATCTTCAAGCCTAGAAGATCCCCTCTTGTCAAAAAACTGTTTACCACTAGATATATTTCAAGACTTAGAGCAGGTGTCAGTTTGGCAGTCTATTTGGGAGTAGACTGCCAGAGTTTCATATTTCCTCTTCAGTCTCCACCATTGCTGTATCTATCCTGTGATATCATCATCTACTTTAATCCTTGGGAAACACATAGCCAGTTTCAGGCTGTGACATCTTTGTGTTTCCCATGGGTTTAATGGAATTACATTGTGGAATTACAATGGTGCTGCTATGTGGAAATCTTGAAGCATTTTTGAGTATGTTATAGGATACAGGGGAGAGAAGTGTTTTATATATAGAACATGCAATTCAAGAAGGGGAGGTCTTGTTGGATAGGAAGAATCTAGGCATCTTTATGAAAGATTCAGCTTTTAGGTCTGCAAGACAGATGGAAGCGCCTTGTTTGTTAACCCTTTGCCAGATTTTTGTTCCTTCCCTGCAGGTGAACATGAGATAAATTTACACCCTTAGGCCAGCTGCAAACCTGGATCTCCACTCCTAGCCCACAGCCCCATTGCTCCTTGATCATCCCCTCTGCTTCTGTCATATAGTAATGGAGAGGGTTACGAGGCCTAGGTAACTGGGTTCCTGACAAATGAGTCTTTGTTTTAAATATGATCTGGGTCCTGAGTATAGTGTATGACCCTTCTGTCCTGCAAGATATAGATCCAAACCATTTCTTTGACCCTCACATTCCCAATTCCATCCCTGCTTCCTTTATTCTCAGATAATAACCCTTACCTGCATCTCCACTGAGATCAGTGTCACCTACATTTTATCCATTTGTTGCCTTCTTACCTGTAAAACAGCTTATCTCACACCCTACTTTCCAAAATAGAATGTATTCTTCTGTTCATTCCTGCCCTTAAAACAAGCTTATCTCACACCCTACTTTCCAAAATAGAATGTATTCTTCTGTTCATTCCTGCTTCCCTTTCATCCTTAGAGCAAGAAATGGTAAGATACCTTTTTAAGGCAGGGTAAATGTTCTTCCTGGGCTCTTGGTGTCATGTCTCTTGGTCATTTGTACGCTTTTGCACTTCGGTTTCTCTCTTTCTACTAGATTCTTTCCTCTTCCACAAATATGTATAGGTCTCTCTTTTTTTATAACAAAATGTACACAAAACCTTTCATTGGTCTTGCTGTTTATTTAAACAATATCCCATTAAATCACCAGGCCAGCCCTTTCATCCATCCATTCAACCTTTTAGCCATCTATCCATTCAGTCTTCAAACCATCCATCCTTCCATCCATCCATCCATCCAACATTAACTGAGTGACCTTATTTTATACATTAGGTAACTTAGCCCCAGAGAATCAAGAGTACCAACCAAGACATACAACTCAGCTATTATGAAATATTTTAGGGCCTTTACCTTTCAGCTAGATGGTAGGGTCATTGTTGACTTCCTGAATGACAAACCTACTTGATGCTTTTTAGTTCTCATCTTACTTGATCTGTATAATTCTTGGGGTAGAGAGATTACACTTTTAAAAACTATGAAATGTGTAAATTTATGTTTTAATTTTATGGTTATTTGTCAGATTAAAAACAGTTTTGTTCCACTGTGGCAACTCCATTAAGCTACTAGCATGTCTAAGGGCTAGTTTTAAAATCTAAATTTGTTTATGAGAGCTTTGCTGTTTACACTGTAGGTTATGCACCAGGGAGAATAATTCAAAGTGACACCAAATATGTGTGTGTTAAATAACACCATCTGCCCATTTGGATCTGTGCAGCTCTTTAAAAATACTGTGAGGTTCTGGCCCAAATCCTGTCATGTTTCAGGATATGGGATAGGTTATTATGCTAAGACCCCAGATTAGATTTGGTTTGAAGTTTAAGAAGGCTTCAAGTCCTTTCCTACTTCTTTTTAGTAGTTGTTCGTTTAATTCATATTAGAGTATCAGCCCCAGGGCATTGTGGACACTAGTATAAAGGACTGTGTTAGGAAAGAAGCCATCTACTGCTCTGATAGGTCAGGCTTGAGAAGACCCTCCTTTGCCTCCCAAGCAGCTGCATGAATAACCCAGTCTTTACTCAGGTCTGTTATTTTTGCATTAGAAATACTGGGTGGAAGGTCTGTCTTCTGTTATAATGCAAATACCCCATTAATATGGATCATTTATACCTTAGGATGTATTATCCAGTCCCATTTGATAGACTACTTCTGGATTAGTTTTGATAGCTAAGAAAGCGAAAAGAGACAGTGGAGTTGGAGGGCATTTGAAAGTGAAGATTTTAAAAGGGAAGCGGTAGGCTACATCTGTCTGTTTAAATGAGCAAGAGAGTTATAAAAAAATGTCTTGTTTTAGGGCCCTAGTAAGATTAGTGGCTCAAGAGCTGGAGCTTCAGGCTAAATAGCTACTTAATTAGCTATGTGACTCTGGTCAGGTCACCACACCTTGACATGTAGCCCTCATTCCTCATCTCTAAATGAAACTGTTCATGGTCCTTTAGGGTCCCTTTTAGTGCTGACGTTCTCCAATTCTGCCAGAGAAACTGAGAAATCTGAAAGAGTCCCAAAGTGGGTTTTTTTTGTGGGGGGTGGGGGTGAATGGGAGCAACTTGTGAGAGGCATTGTGGGTCTGTGGCATGCACTGGTAGTAGCAGGGGCTACATCTGTGTTCTGTGGCCCTGGAGCACAGCCCATGCCTGGAATGGAGCATTTAATGCTGTGTAAATGAACGAATGAAGGCCTGGCAGATGCCTTAACAGCATAAAATAGAAAGCAGAGTAAAGACTTGGGGCAAAGAAAACTCTACCCCACAAGTGATTGAGAGCCATTGCCAGTTCTGTTACCATTGTTCTGGGTCCTTTGGAGCCTTCCATCTCTTCTAATAAAGGCAAAGCCATGAATCTTTTTTGGGTGGTCAGGACCAAACGGTGAGCAGTCTCCTTTTTCACAATGATTACCACGGCTCTCAGCCAACCATTTAGTAACAAGATGCTGTACTATCCTGAATTGTAGACCAGCAAGAAGAAGGATGCACCACAGCAGTATGTGAGGTGTGCTGACTATGTACAGCATCGATGTAATAAATGATAGCTTTGCTATTGCTTTTGGGAACCAGCTATGTAGAAGGCACTGAACTAGGTCTTTTACGTGGGGTTTGAATCTAGATGTTTTACATGAGTGTGAAATTGAGGACCCTCAAGGGTAAATAACAAATATGATTTCTGCTTTACAGTTGAAAAAACTGATGTTAAAATAGATTAAATAACTCGAGGTTACAAATTCCTTTCTAGATCCATGGTTAGTAAATTTGCCGTTCTTGAACTTTCTGCTTTCTTCAAGCAAGATTTTTATTCCTAGCATTCCAGACGTTACAGACTGGTCCTATCTGTTCTTAGCTTTCATATTGTATTCTCCCTATCTTCTCAGTCAAATTACTTAAATGTTTTAACATGTGAAAATTCATATAGTCAAAAGGAATAACCCCTTGGAGTTAAATCAAGTTTTCCTGTTATAGGATTGCAAACATTTGGTTTGATTAACAGTTCCTTCTGGTCATTTGTAGATGTTCTTTCTGTCCTTTTAAAGAAATTTTTGGTAGAGCAAAATATCAATTTTTAAATGATAGCCCAAAGTCCATTCCACAGAAGATAACAAAATCTTGTTTTTATGAAATAAGTAAGGATAAAGGTAATTAAGTCTATGTTATTTCCACATTCTATATTATATTACAAAAATATAGTACAGTTATCCTAGGAGACTCTGGGATATAGTTGATTCTTAAATTTCTTCTGTGTAGTGGTTTGTGACTGCTTAAGGAACGTATCGCAAATCAGGGAAGCCAAGGAAAGGATGTGGGGAGAGCAGCTTCAAACAGTGGTGGGAAAGTGCTCAGAGGGGATTTGGGGGTAGGGGCAGGTAAAAAGATTGGGGGAGGTGGCTGGCTTTCCCCATGCTCAGGAGCCCTGATTTCAGTCTAGTCATGTGAGCATCGGTGCTTCTTTCCTTTTATTAATGAAAGTTATTTCTTTTCTTCCTTGCAAACAGCACATAACAACTGGTAAGCTTGTGAGCTAGGAAACATTAATGGTGTACAACAGATGCTAGCACACTCAGCAGGTGGGACGCTACTGAATCTCCCAGCAGTTGGATGCCCTCGATACATGAAATAGGATGGCTTTTATTCTTTCTGTAAATCTGGATTTCTCTAGGGAGATGCTTTTTTTAAAACAGAATTTTGCTATCTTAAAAATGTATGCAGTTATGACTTTATCAGAATATAAAATGCCAAGAATTGGAATATTTCATAAGCCATACTTCTAAAACTGGCTTGTTGGTATTCATTTCTGAAATTGTTTTTTAGCTATGGTGATTTTATTATCAGAATATTATGTAAATTTGGAGGAAAATAATGAGCAGCTCTTAACAATGTTCTTTCACCAGGATTGTAGCTATAAATTTTCCTTAAAAACCAGTATTAAGTGGACAAAACAGCATTGAGAAGTTAAAATGTAATTGGTATTTACTTTTATCAAACTTCTTAATTTTTAGAAATAAACAATTTTTTTGGAATAAAAATGTTTAAACCAGTGTTTAAGGTGGGTATAATTAGTAAATGCAACACAATTATGGGCATGTACAAAAATCATAGCTGGTAACAAGGACCCTAATCACGCTTATTATCTTTCTGTTCTAGATATTTGAATGGTGGTATTTTCGCAAGTATGGAACATCATTCATTGAACAAGTCTCAGTAAGCCACTTGCGCCCCCTTCTGGGAGGGGTTGACAACAACTCCTCCAATAATTCTAACTCCAGTAATGGGGACTCAGATTCCAACAGGCAAAGCGTCTCAGGTATGGAAAGTCCTTCAGTCTGCAACATTATTTACTTACTCTTACTAAATTATTATGACTATAAGACAATAAGACTGTTGTTATTTAAAGATTTGACTCAAAGAAAAGTACGATTTATTTTCCCAAGAATTTGACAACTTCTACAAGAGAAGTAGAGTATAAGCATCCCAGGGAAAGGAAATGTTTATCTTGTTTAATTTTACTTTTTCTTCCATTTGATTTAGCTAATGATCATTTAGGTCAGTGGTTCCCACCTGAGTCTCCACCTCCTTGTCTTTAGTGCCTCAAGCCTCATTAAATGTATCCATCCTCTTCCATGCTAATTGTAGAACCTTATGTCTAACTAGATCTGATAACACTCCTCTGCTTAAAAGTCTTGGTTGGTTCCCATTCCACTAAAGATAAAGCCCAGATTCCAGATTACTTAGCACAGCATAAGCTGCTTCTATCTTGCCAACCTTGGTTTCTGTCACAATCTCGTTCCCCTCCTTTTCGTTGGTTTCTGTCATTTCTTGAACGGGCCATGTTTTCTCATGACCCTCTGCCCAGAAGTCTGTCTTCCCTCCTCCGTGCTTGCTCATCTTTCACAACCCAACTCAAATGTGACCTCCTGGGAAGCCCTCTCTGGTAGGCTGTACAATATTTCTCCACCTTTGTTGACTCATATATTTTTACCTTTAGCAACATTTATTAAATTGTACCGAAATTTTTAAGCTTACTGCTTTACTGTAATATCTCTAGCATTTTGCATAGTGTCTACTATATCACTGAAACTCAGTGAATGAATGAATGAGGACATACATGGCCTGTAATTTCTCTACTCGTGAAAGAAGAGGGATGAATATAATTTCCTAGCTTGGTCTCTTCATCATCTCAGTAAACATTTCCTAACTCTCTAATATGAACCTGGCCTTATACAGGTTCTTATGAATATTATGATTTTAAAAAATGTCAAAGTCCTTGTTCCCATCCCATTGAACTCTTGTGTCTACTGAAGGGAGACAGAGTGTTAAGTGCTCTGATTATATGAGGGAAACATGCAATACTTTGGAGCACAAGGGAGGGCTTCCCGATCCAAACTGGGGGAAGAAGTTTGCTTCTTGGAGAAGACGGTACCACTTCTGAGACTTGAAGGATGAAGAGGGAGAGATTAAAGAACTAAGTCAGATCTTTTTTCTTTCCTCCCTAGAATAACTCAGTTCATATTTCATAACTGTCTAGCCAGGTGATAGGCATCAAGGAGCGTTGTATATATATTTTATTCCTGATGTTGATTCAATGCTCTTTTAATATAATAGAACCTTTGCCAGCCGGCCATGAGTGGTAGTGGGCACCTCTGAGTACACATTTATTTCATTCTAAAGGGTACACGTGTGAGAGATGGCACCACTCAGGTAACAAAATTGTCTGGGACTTTATAAACTCATGTACTTTGTGAAAGAAACAGAATGAGATCTGAGCAAAGTGAAATATTACTTCAACCAGGTACTCTAACACACGCGGCATATTATTCTAATGAGGAATCTTGATCATTCAGTCATTGTCACTATGGATAATTGCCTCACTTTGCATATGTTGGAAGACCCTACAGATTAAATGTGCTCTTGTCTGATCTGATTTACTACAGTCTTTGTATGTCACAGAACATTGTAGAAAATTAACAGATTGAAAACAGAAAGCAACCTCATTTAAGGACATTTTTTATTGTGAGTACATTTTTATTTTCATTAAAATTCTCGCTCTGCCCAATTTAACATCATTCCTTAATGCGACGAAGAGTTCATACTCTCCTTATTGTTGCTGTTACTTTGCTGACTCTCTGTGGATGCCTTGAATAAGCCTTATGCATTATATAAATCTTGATGCTATTCTTAGTGCTGGTATAGCAGTTTTTAAAGGGAGAATCTCAGTCCTTTATAAAAATACATTCGACAATGATGATCAAGGAACTTCCCAATTTTATTTGTACTGAGTTTTTACCCTGCTAAGACTAAGCTTTTGAATATTATTATTAATTCAGTTTCACTAGTATTTGCTGAATGTCTACTACTATGCATGCAATATTTCCATTCATTTCCTGTAACAGATACAGCATTTATGATCTGATCTCATAACAGTGTTCAAATAATTAGATTTAGGAAAATGGAAATTATCTTGTCCAAGTATATTTAGGGCTCAATCTGCCTACTTCTTGACATTCTGGGTTTCTAACATTTGGCTAACTCAGCTCAACAAACGTGTATGTTGGTATGGAAGTGCCAGGTACCGTGGGATTAATACCATTTCCCACTTCTCTTTTCTTGTGGTGATTTTTATTTTTGAATAAGAAAAATGCTATAAAAGTACATTGTCTCTGTTTATCTCTACCCTTAATCACTTTCTATTTCATAGTCTAGTTTCAGCTAAGTATAAAGGAAAAAGAAGGTCCAAAGCTGAGGGTAATCAATACATTTTCTTAAAATAGAGGAATTTGTTTTAAAATTTATATTGCCTTAATAATGATAAAATGACTGTTGCCTTAATAAAAGAAGCATCATAAGACAGCTCTTTGCTGAATCTTACGTGAAATAAAACGTGGCTAACCAAGTCCCATGGACATTTGCAAAGGCAGTTAAATGGCATTTCTTATTTGAAAAAAATCATTGAAAAAGTTAAAAACAGACAGAAAATACTAGTTATAAACATTGGACTATATGAAAACTCATAGTGTAGCTCTTTCTTTAAAGAATCATTTGTTTTGATTAAAAGCTGAAAGACCTGGCCTACCTAAGAATAATTGGGGTGGAGAAATGGGAAGGGAGAAAGTTGTAATTGTTACAGGAGACTATTCATATGTTGTTTAACATTTGGATTTGTGCAAATTGTCCTGAGTGCAGACCGTCTCAAAACTTGCATTGATCTTTATCTGTGGGCCAGAAGAGAAATGTAGTTAATTATACAGCTTCTTTTTTTAAAAAAATATTTATTTATTTACTGGCTGTGTCAGGTCTTATTTGCGGCATGTGGGATTTTTTGTTGTGGTGCACGGGCTCCTCTCTAGTTGTGTCACGCGGGCTCCAGAGCTCTTGACCTCTGTAGCTGCGGCATGCGGGCTCTGTAGTTGTGGTGCACGGGCTCTCTAGTTGTGGTGCGCAGGCTTCGTTGTCCCGCAGCATGTGGGATCTTAGTTCCCCGACCAGGGATGGAACCAGCATCCCCTGTATTGCAAGACGGATTCTCAACCACTGGAACACCAGGGAAGTCCCACAGCCTCTTAATATAGCCAAATTTCAGATTGTCTGGTTTAGGTTAGCATTTATGAACATTTCACTTATCTCGATTTATTTGGGAGCTAAACTGCTATTTTTCTCACAAATATATAGTTTCTGATAAACCCTACTGATATATTTTCCGTGTCATCATGTTTCCTGCTGCCATTTCTTAATTCAACTTAACTTATGAACTGATGATGCACAGGGATTTAAAATATGTCCAACTTCTCCCTGTCTTAAGGGAAGGGATTCTCAGGGTCCAGTAACATTCTGAATTTGGGCTCATGGGAACATCTGTTTGATAATTTGCCCTGTTCTCAAATAAGATGTCATAAAGACAAAGGTTTGCAGTGTTCACCTTCTTCAAGATATTTACAAAAGTGCAGAGTGTTCCATCACATTAGAAGTATCCTTGTCAAAAGTCAAGTATAAATTCTCTGAGGCACTTTAATAGCATCTTGCATAGAACTGGATCTTTAGACAAACTCTGGTTATAGTCACTTGGTTTCCTGTTGCAAATCATCTCATTTTAATCTCTATGTAAGATAAATATATATCATATACATTTTTTAACATCTTTATAGGAATATAATTGCTTTACAATGTTGTGTTAGTTGCTGCTGTATAACACAGTGAATCAGCTATATGTATACATATATCCCCATATCTCCTCCCTCTTGCGTCTCCCTCCCACCCTCCCTATCCCACCCCTCTAGGTGGTTACAGAGCACCAAGCTGATCTCCCTGTGCTATGTGGCTGCTTCCCACTAGCTATCTGTTTTACATTTGGTAGTGTATATATGTCCATGCTACTCTCTCACTTCGTCCCAGCTTACCCTTCCCACTCCCTGTGTCCTCAAGTCCATTCGCTATGTTTGCGTCTTTATTCCTGTCCTGCCACTAGGTTCCTCAGAACCTTTTTTTTTTTTTTTTTTTTTTAGATTCCATATATATGTGTTAGCAAACGGTATTTTTTTTTCTCTTTCTGACTTACTTCGCTCTGTATGACAGACTCTATCTAGGTCCATCCACCTCACTACAAATAACTCTATTTCGTTTCTCTTTGTGGCTGAGTAATATTCCATTGTATACGTGTGCCACATCTTCTTTATCCATTCATCTGTTGATGCACACTTAGGTTGCTTCCATGTCCTGTCTATTGTAAATAGAGCTGCAATGAACATTGTGGTACATGACTCTTTTTGAATTATGGTTTTTTTCAGGGTACATGCCCAGTAGTGGGATTGCTGGGTCATATGGTAGTTCTATTTTTAGTATTTTAAGGAACCTCCATACTGTTCTCCATAGTGACTGTTATCAACTTACATTCCCACCAACAGTGCAAGAGGGTTCCCTTTTCTCCACACCCTCTCCAGCATTTATTGTTTGTAGGTTTTTTGATGATGGGCATTCTGAGTGGTGTGAGCTGATACCTCAGTGTAATTTTGATTTGCATTTCTCTAATGATTAGTGATGTTGAGCATCCTTTCATGTGTTTGTTGGCAATCTGTATATCTTCTTTAGAGAAATGTCTATTTAGGTTTTCTACCCATTGTTGGATTGAGTAGTTTGTTTTTTTTGATATTGAGCTGCCTGAGCTGCTTGTATATTTTGGAGATTAAACCTTTGTCAGTTGCTTCATTTGCAAATATTTTCTCCCATTATGGGGGTTGTCTTTTTGTCTTATTTATGGCTTCCTTTACTGTGCAAAAGCTTTTAAGTTTCATTAGGTCCCATTTGTTTATTTTT